TTGTGAAAAATAGGAAATGTGCCTTTTACATGTTAAAAATATTATTTATAATATACATATATAAGAAACTCTGAAGAAAGCGTTAACATTAACCCTGTCTTTTGTAACATTATGGGCCTGGTTGCGTCTTGCAAACCCACGCAGCAGCCACGCACGTTGTATCGTAGGCAGAAGTTCGTATTTTAGTTCCTGTAAGAAGGCGCTGTAGGAGAGCGCGCCACCATAATAGTTCCCACCGCGTTGTTTGGGAGTCAAAAGATCCTGAGCGACTTCGAGGCGTTTCATAGTTTTAGATTGCGTGCGCTTACGTGAATTTTAACGTTGTGGAGTTTACACGGCACTCGGTGTTGCAGTGACAGCCATGAAGCTAGTACTAGAGGGTCACCAACGATTTCTTACGGTATGATTGATATTATATTTCCATTAAATTAAACTTTATTTGTGATTTCAACAGAACACATCCGCAGAAAGTTTGCTTTTAACAATTTGAACATTTAAATATGTCAAATATATCCAATCTATTATAACTGGAACTAGAATCTCATCTACTTATCTCTTTGTTCTGTGGAATAATCTACATAAATGCTAAATATCTCATTGCTTGCATGTAAGTGCACTTTCTTTGATACCTTTACAACTGCTAAGGAACAGTGAAAGGTTTAATCAATTTGAAACTTTAAACAATAACACTCTCATTAACATAAACATCTCCATCCTGAATATAAATTTATTCTCGTCCCATTTGTAGAATACTTTTTTATTTTCTCGCCGTACGTCTTACGAAGAAAAAGTATTGAAATGGTGCCCCAGAAAACGACAATTTTTCGACAGAAAAAGCTCTCATTGCCGCACCCTGGTAACAAAAAAGTTGATAAATCTTCTTAGAGAGAATACATTGGGCACTGTCCTGCCTTCCAGCAATCAATACTTTGCATAGATTTGATTTTCGGAATTAGAATTATATTTTTAGTCAATTTCGATTTGTTGTGCCATGAGTTGTATTCGGTCAGTTTTTTGCTTTTGTGTATGTTTTTGAAGTAAAAAATAACATCAATAACAGCTATATCATTGTAGTATTCAGTAGAATATATATATATATATATATATATATATATATATATATATATATATATATATGTGTATATATATAATGTATATAAATATATCTGAAACTTGTGAATTTGTTTAGTTGTAGTGATCGGTTGATCCATTATCTACTTAGTAGTTAATTACTCTATACAGAATGTTCGGAAGATCCCACTACCAAAAACCAACACATTCTGCTTAATTTTATACAGAATGTTAGCTTTAGGTTTTTCGAAAATAAATTGTCTTCGAGAAAATTAGGTTTAAGTCGCCTCCGGGCGCAAACTTCAAACACACAGCCGTGACACACTGCGTCTTCTTCTACAGTGCTGGGTGTTCCTCGCATGTTATCGGCGAAACTGTCGAGGACTGTGGGGATAGCGTCGCGTGCCGCACACTAAAGCACTTTAATATTATCAACTATTTTTGGGTTCTAATTAATAAATCTATTAAATAATAAAGCAAGTTCTTAACATTTAGTTTCATTAAAGAATTTCCATGCTGTACAGCGGCTTAAAAAAATTAACGCTGATTACGATTCAAGATGTTTGAAAATAAATCTTGAATGCTCGAATTATTTTTTTGTTTTTATGTCTGTTGTTAAAGACCAATTAGTGTTGTGTGCTTTATGTAGCGTTGCTAAATAAATTATAGTTTTTCAGTTTACTTTGAATATCGAGACATAAAAAAGCTATTTTGGGCCTAGAATTTCTTCTTGGGAATACTTCAATTTACTCAATATATCTGAGAGGAGTTTAAAACTAATGCTGCCGACATATTCATTATCTGCCGCTCCCAGACCAACATCACAGCCTTATTTACATAACCCGGTCATTCATTTCTGAATTTGGTAATTGATAGCTGTATTCGCTCTCTGATGCAAGAAGCCTCCCTCCGCCAAAAAATGAGGTCACCGAAGTTATTCGATGAGCTCCCTGAAAACCACTCATCAAATTATTCTCGCTTAGAACAATCATGAGGGCAGATATGATGCTTCCGCCATGAATACATTTAGAAATGGCCTTTTCCTACACCACGCTAGACGATGCCATGTGGAACTGCAACTGTCGACGACCTCGAGAAACGACCTCGATTACTCCTTTCTCTAATTTGAATGTGCTTTCAACGCTTCACTTACTGCTTCAAACCACTTATTGCACTCAAACAACTAGATATCTCTATTAATATACATTGACGGTGCTTACTCCTATCTTTTAGTGTACGCTGCTGGCGATGACGGCATTGGGAATGGTGCAAGTGTTGGGGAGGGGGGGATGGGAGGGGAGAGAAGGGATGACTTCGTACAGCCATGACCACTCTGCCGGCCCCAACTCATATCGAGCTATAAGTTGCCGCGGGGGCGGGGGCAAATGAGAGGCTGCCTGCAGGCCCCTTGGCAGCGGCGGCAGGTTAAAATGTATGTGGGTATCGCGACGTGAGGCAGCAACAGTAATATTGGCCACTAATTGCGGGCGCGTCCCGGTTTGACCCAATCGAAAGCACTCGTTTGCGCGCGAGAACGAAAGTCTTTTGAAAGTAGTGTATTCACCAGTACATGAAACAGCAGCTTTTCCTTAGTTTTTACGCGTTCTCTCTAACACCGTACTTGTGTACTATTTTGTTGTTAGTCGTCGCGAATTGAGTGATGCGAATTTATCTCTGTTAATCCCGAACACCGCGCAGAATTGGCGAACTGCGCGCATGCTTTCAGCAAAGATTTACCAAAGTAATAGTTGCCCTGCAATCAAAAGAACTGCTGGAAGCATTAGTTCAAACACCGCGCCCATGTGTAATCAATAAATGCATTTTTTATGAAAGAACCCTTTTAGTTGCAAATGCTTTTTGCTCTGTATCACCACATTAATAATAGAATGCGGGAATGCCATAATTTATGTTGCTATCTAAAGTACACAACACTAGATCAATCCACAAGATTTCAGGGAGTAAAGACCTATGCACTTGAGGTGCCCGAATAAAAATACTTTTGTCAGCATTTCTAAAGTTATTGCATTCTCTTAATATAGACTCTATCCGAGGGCAGACCGGCAGAGAGAGCAGGAAAGAGAGAGAGGGAGCGGGAAGGGAGAGGGCGAGAAGAGGGCGGAAGGAAGAGGAGGAGCTGGAGAGGAGGGCCCGGTAAGGAGAGGGCCGGGTAAAGGGTGAGTCGGAACGAGAGATGAGAGTCGGGAAGAGAAGAGAGACGGTAAGGAGGGGAAAGAGAGAAGAGCAGTGCGCAAAGAGAAGAAGGAGCGGAAGGAAGAGAGACGAGCGGAAAGAGAGAGGAGGCCGGGAAAGAGAGGAGAGAGGCGGAAAGAGAGAGAGAGCGAGAGACAGAGAAGAGAGAGGAGAGAAGAGAGTGCGGAAGAGAGGAGAAGAAAGGAGGAGAGGCGGAAGAGAGAGAGGAGGGGAAAGGGAGAGAGGGAAGAGAGGGAGGGGAAAGAGAGAGAGAGAGATGGGGAAGAGAGGAGGACGGGGAAGAGAGAGAGGGCGGAAGGGAGAGAGGCGGAAGAGGAGAGAGGCGGGAAAGGAGAGAGATGAGGGGAAGAGGAGGGGCGGGAAGAGAGAGAGAGAGGCGGCAAGAGAGAGAGAGAGGCGGAAGAAGAGAGAGAGAGCTGCGGAAGAGAGAGAGAGAGAGGAAAGAGAGAGAGAGAGCGGAAAGAGAGAGAGAGATAGAGGAAGAGAGAGAGAGAGAGAGCGTAGAAAGAGAGAGAGAGAGAGCGGGAAAGAGAGAGAGAGAGCGGGAAAGAGAGAGAGAGAGACGAGAGCGGAAAAGGAGAGAGAGAGCGGGAGAAAGAGAGAGACGAGAGAGAGAGAGCGGGAAAGAGAGAGAAGAGAGAGAGAGAAAGAGAGAGAGAGCGGGAAAGAGGAAAGAGAAGAGAGAGAGAGGAGCAGGGAAAGGAGACGGAGCGGAAAGAGACAGAGCGAAAAGAGAGATGAAGAGAAGGAGAGCGGAAAGGAGAGGAGGCGGGAAGGAAAAGGAGAGAGAGCGAAGAGGGAAGAGCAGAGGAGAGGAGAGCGGGAAAGAGATGAAGAGAGGATAGAGCGAAAAGAGAGAGAGAGACCGAGCGTGAGCGGAAGGGAGCGGAGAGAGGAGGACGGAAGAGAGAGAGAGATCGGGAGGAGAGAGAGAGAGCGAAGAGAGAGAGAGAAGCGAGAGCGAAAGAGAGGAGAGAGTGAAGAAGAGAGAGAGCGGAAAGAGAGAGGAGCGTAAGAGAGAAGAGAAGAGCGGAAGAGAGAAGAGACGAGAAGAGAAGAGGGAAAGAGAGAGCGAGAGCGGAAGAGAGAAGAGCGGGCGAGAGAGAGAGCGAGGCGAAGAGAGAGAGAGCAGAGGAAAGAGAGAGGATGAGAGGAAAGAGAGAGATCGAGGCGGAAAGGAGAGGAGAGAGCGAGAGCGACAAGAAGGGAGAGACGAGACGGAAGAGAGAGAGGAGCGAGACGAAGAAGAAGGAGGAGGAAGCGGAAATAGAGAGGAGAGCGAGGCGGAAAAAAGAGAGAGAGAGAGAGCGAGAGCGGAAAAGAGAGAGAGAGAGAGAGCGAGAGCGGAAAAGAGAGAGAGAGAGAGAGAGAGAGCGGAAAAGAGAGAGAGAGCGAGAGCGGAAAAGAGAGAGAGAGCGAGAGCGGAAAAGAGAGAGAGAGAGAGAGAGAGAGAGAGACGTCGTCAATTGATTTTTCGGTATCAAGAACCCACAAAACATGGAGTTTGTCTTCACTGCGTTTTGAAGGAAGTACTATACTATGTGTAGCAACAGCATTTATCCACCTTTTCATTACCAGGGTCTGGCGAAGAGAGTATTTTTGCCGCAAAGTCGCCGTTTTCTGGCACACGATTACATACTTTTCTCTTCATACAAAGTAAGTACGAGAAAACAAAAGTCTTGCTCTTCTTCCTACTGTTGCCTTTACTGTGCTTGCAGGGGAAGGCGGACGGTGACGGGGGCGGGGGCGAGCAGGGCGGGGCGCCGGCCTACCCGGCGGGCGAGGCGGGGCGCATGCTGCGCAACGCCGTGGGCGTGGGCGTGGTCTTCATGGTGCACTTCACCGCCACGCTGGGCGTCACGCACCTGCAGAGCTCCGTCAACAAGGAGCAGGGCCTGGGCACGAGCGCGCTCGCCGCGCAGTACGCGGGCCTCGTGCTCTCCAGCCTCGTGCTCGCCGTCTTCATCATCAGGTGCCACTCGTCCACTCGTCCGCTCATTGCATTACGAAAGCACGGGGCCCCAACCACAATCATTCTTGGCTGACCGGGAGGCGCCGTGATCTACGCATAGATCCCGGAAGGTTTTGCCCGTCGTGCCGCGACCTTTAAGGTGAAGTGCTGCCATGCATCCCGGGTTACGCCCTGAGGAAGACCGTAACATTGTGGTCGAATCATTGGTATGTATGTCTAGGTCGCGGTGTTTCCCGGACAGCCATGAAAATTCATATATATATATATATATATATATATATATATATATATATATATATATATATGGTAGTTATAAAAGTACGCATGGAGAACAGTAGTGCAATTTCGTATTTTCTGTCAAATATGAATGACATATTTCCTTATCATAAATTGTCTTGATATCCTGCCTATCATATGCTATATGAAGTTACTAAAAATTCAACATAAATAGGTAATTTTCAATCCACTTTCTGTCATTCAAAATATCTGAAACGCAGATATATAGTAGTCGGTATGATTTATTTTGTGAACACCCCAGAAAAATTAGGCTACTTATACACACAGTTCGCACGTCGTCACGAAAACACGTCTTCACGACGATGCCAGCGCTGAATCTCAGAAGAGGGAGTAGTTGTTTACAATCACTCCCTCGAAGCGCGGACCGACTTACGAGGCTCAGGGCATCAATTGATCCACTGCAGTGCCTCTGAGAGGTGGTCCTAGGATTTTCGACACTAGATGGATCGAATTCAGGCTCTTTCTGGAGGAGAATTCTAGCGGCTGATTCTAATCGATAGTTTTCCATTCCTATCAACACGAGGTGAATGCGGGGCCGTATTCCTAACAAACGGGTCATAGACAGCGCGCGATATTTCGTTTTCCTTACTTGATATACTCTCAAGCCTTACTTATACACTTACGTGGACTACACTGCCACGCATACCCCAAGACTCGAAATGGCGGTACTCCGGTCAAAACTCGGGTAGCGCTACCTCTCTTTGTTCGACGCCTATAGGTGCTCTCGTTGTATTTTGCTGCGACAACATAAACACCTTAAGGTGTGATAGGCGAGCGACAGTGCCAAGTGGCGCAGCACGTGCGAGCAGGGAAGCCCTCAGTCTACGGGTGCGCCCACGGGTGCCCGCCACGTGCTGGTGCCCGCGATAATTTGCGAAAGATTGAAACGGGTTTACTGGACTATACTTCGCTTTTTTTATAATCACACTTTAAGTTTAATCAGTTGCTACGGTGCTAAATCGGGAGCTTCAACGTCACTGTAGTGACGCGTAACAGGTGACTTACGTCAAGTTCCACTACACGTAAATGGAAGTATAGACGTATTTTCCTCCAGCAGATAACGTTAAATGCTCGAAGGAGGATATTCTCTGCCAACCCGATAGATCACGATTATATGGATATGATAGGCTCGAAATTTGCATCGTAAAACGTTTCCGTTGGATTTCTTAAAATAATTTTATTAATTTACTGTATTAATAATAAGTCATAAGTTATATGTATCAACGGCCAGAATCAGGTCAAAAGTAAACCATTTCCTTCAGAACTCAACTGCTGACAATTGTGACAAGTAGACTAATTTCATTAATTGACCTTCGGTTAAGATGGTACATTATTTACGAGATTGGCGATCGATTCAACAGAAAACCTAATGCGAATGACATTTAATTTCCATTTACTTTCATGTTTACTTAAAATTATTAAAGATCTTGTTTATTTCTTATTCCTTAATATATATATATATATATATATATATATATATATATATATTGGAAGGAACTGTCACAGACTCCTTAAAAAGTACAAAAAAAGAATTTATAAACCTCTCCTTGTATTACATTTATACGTCAATCATGCGAATAATTCATGTTTCCGAAAATATGATAAATTTCAGACATGCTCCGCAGATAAGTAATTACGGTCCCATTTTCTCAAGGACTTTGCATTTGATCAGTAACATTTATTTTTCAAACTCAAGTATATCATTTTTGAATACTCTTTGCCATAATATCAATTTCCTTGATTTATATCTTTTGAAATATGAAAGATGATTTATAACATAGGTTATGGAAACAATTTAATATGATTGTGTAGAGTCATCTCAAACGCGGTTGACCGTTCACGAGCAAACACTAGCACAGTGGTGTAAATGATCTATTTACAGGAATGAATTTTTCATCTTTTCGTCCCTACACATCACCAAACGACGTTGCGGTTACCACTGACATGGAAATCCTCTTTATCATACTCCCACACGGAGCGTAAAAGCAAACTGCTGAGGGAACATGAATTTTGGGATTCCCGTAACATATAGTCCATAGACCTTTGACATTTTGTATAGCGATTGTGGCATAGCAGATTTAACACAGCGGCCGGGCATTAAGGACGTTTTTCGGCTCTCTTCACAACGTTGTCGAACAACGTGGCCGTACCGTCAACATCCACAAAATAAATCATTTTACGGTGACAGCGGGTACGGAAGCATTGATCGACAAAATGCACGCACCGCGTCCGACACAGCTGTCATCTCCGGGAGACAATTTCCACGGACGCTCGTCCGTTGAGGAGGCGGCAACGGCGGCGCCTATCACCGCCCGCGCGCCCATCAGGGCGATGGGCGATGGCGCCCGCGGCCTCTGCGAAGTTCTTCGCCCGCGCTTGGGGCAAGATATCGGAAAACTATTACTCTCGGACCGTCAACCACCGCTTCGGCGCCAATGAAAATAAAATACAAGGCTTTTTTTCTCTGGCGACGGCTGTTGAGAAACAAAACGGGCTGTGGTTAAATCCGCTCGTCTGTCGCGAGGATTAGAAAAAGTTGGTAACAAATGGAGAGGTCTTAGGATACAAAGGCATTTATTAGGTAACGACAGGAGCGAAAGGATGACATTGTAAAGAAAACTCGAGATAGATGTCTGGTTGAAAATAAAAAAAACATTGAGAAGGTCGACATCTAAAGCTTCACTTTCCATATAAATTATGAAATAAAAAATTGTTTCTGATAAATCAATCGAGAACTATTTCCAATTATTTATTTAAAATTATATTTATTTAACCTATGTAGTTCAATTAATGGAATAATTGATGTCATGACCAAAGCAATCACGGACTTTATTTGCAGTTGGAAACAATTCTTCGAAGGTAATTTTCGTATCTTCCTAATATATTTTTGTTACGCATAAAGCGCATGTTTTTTATTTACATCTCAGCGTTTTATTATATAATATCGCACGTTTCACGAACAACGAATGCGATAGGCACATTACCGACATCTCTTTCTCCTTTCAGAAGAAAACCCTACTGTATTTGTAAATTTTACCTAATGATATTGTTAATCTTAACAGTACCTTGTCATACTCAAGGGATGGCGTGGTCAAAGTAGCGGGAGCAAGCAAGGTACGGAAGCAATCAAGGGGACGGGAACAATCAAGGGGACGGAAGCGAGCACGAGGACGGGAGCAAGGAAGGGTACCGGAGGGGGCAAGGTGGTGTCGAAACAAGGTATCGTGAGCAATCAAGGAGTCGGGAGCAATCAAGGGGGCTGGAGCAATCAAGGGGACGGAAGCCAGCAAGAGGACGGGAGCAAGGAAGGGTACTGGAGGGGGCAAGTATAAGTCGAAGGAAGGTATCGTGAACAATCAAGGAGTCGGGAGCAATCAAGGGGACGGGAGCAATCAAGGGGACGGGAGCAATCAAGGGGACGGGAGCAATCAAGGGGACGGAAGAGAGCAAGAGGACGGGAGCAAGGAAGCGTACCGGAGGGGGCAAGTAGGTGACGAAGCAAGTTATTGTGAGTAATCAAGGAGTCTGGAGTAATCAAAAGGGCGGGATGAATCAATGGGGCGGGAGCAATCCAGGGAACGGAAAAAGCAGGGAGTTCAAAGAGGAAGAGTCGGACAGCGAAGCTGTAGGAAGGTAGGAAGAAAGGCCAACCGCCTAGCTGGTGTTTGACGTCTCTTTGCGTGTGCCCGCCAGCAAGCTGGGCTGCAAGTGGACGATCGTGATGGCCATCCTGTGCAACGTGCCGTACATGGTGGCGCAGATCTACCCGCACATGTACACGCTGGTGCCGGCGGCCTTCCTCATGGGGCTGGCGGTGGCGCCGCTGTGGAGCGCCAAGTGCACCTACCTGTGCGTCGTGTCGGAGGCGCGCGCCGCGCTCACGGGCCGCGCGCTCTCCGCCGTGCGCGACCAGGTCATCGGCGTCTTCTTCATGGTCTTCCTGCTCTCCATGGTGTGGGGCAACCTCGTCTCCTCGCTCGGTGAGTCGCCTGCACGCTTTTGCCAGGTTTCCGAACGCTTCCTCTCACTCCGGTTTACGGGGTCAGGCTGTCGCTGCACTGCCTCTCACCGGGAGGTCCTAGGGTTCGAGTCCCGAGGGGGCAGGGTTTCCAACACTAGCTCTGCAGCTAGGTCTAATTCAGCTGCTGTCTGGAGGGGAATTCTAGCAGCCGGCTGCTTTTATCGGTAATATTCCTTGGTTTCTCCGATCAACACTAGTGTAACGTATTAGCCAGCGTGCCTCGTGGCATCTATTTGGAGACGCTTGGTTGCGGATTAGTCTCACCACAGGAAGTAGGGTTTTTCCGTAAAGGGAAGAACGCGGAGACGGGAGACACAAGGCTTTGGGTGTCTTCCGGCTTATAGAAGCCTTTCACTGTTATAACAAGCGAGGGGGTGGCGTGACGTAGGAGGTCACGTGGGCCTCGCCTATATAACAGAGTGTACGGAGCCAGTAGGCAGGTTCTGGAGACGGTGGGAGAACCTCGTGCGTGTGCACAAAACGTGGCGCCAAGACGGTGCATATGCGAGCCAGGCTCGCGCGGCTGGAGTCATTAGTTGACGAAGCCTGCGGACTTTATGTCCTTGGGTGACTGCGGTCACGGGGGAGCGATGCTGTGTGCGCGCTCCGAGGTGAAGAGTGGTTGAGTGCCACGATTCACGCCGATTCTCAATCGGATAAGATCGCTCCTGCGATCGAGGCAAACCAGCCGTTGGTGCGCCAGAACGGACTTTGTGTCCCAGCGTGACATCCGGTCACGGAAGCTAGGCTTTGTGCGCGCTTCAAAAGTAGGAGTGGCGAATGCCACAATCAAAACAATCTTCAATCGGGTTTTGGATCGCTCCCGCGATCAGAGGATAGTAGGTCTATCAGAGCTAGGGTGTAAGTAGATTATTAAGTGTATATATTTGTTTTGTTTTCTTGTTAATAAATATATTTGTTATACGAAAGCTCTGTGTCTGTGGTCGCTGTGAGTATCCATGACGTCACACTAGGCAAATGCCGGAACAGTACTCTAACACACGGGCCACAATCTTTCTTTCTTCTTCCTTGTCCTATCCTCTCCTCTTACATACATACGCTTATATATACTACACTTCCACACATGTAGGGAGAACAGTTGGGAGTCCAGAAATAGTCTGTCTTGAGCGGTGCTCCAACGCGGGGGGGCTTCCCTGATTCGGGAAATCCCGTTGGTTGACGAGTAAGTCGGCGACGTATCTTGCTATTCTGCGGGGGAAGATCACCGCCGTCTTCCGATATAAACCACTTCTCGATAAAAATTTACTTTATTTACGTGAAAAAAAATAATCTTAGCAGTTGTCGCAATAATTGTCGAAATAATTCAATCAATCACTTTTCGTATCCTTCTTGTTTCTCCGTAATATCTTTTTTCCATTTATGTTATCATCTCCTTCTCTTTCACTTCAGTGTACTCCCCATTCCTGTATCTGTAATGCTCGGACCTAAGTCACCATCGGGATTCAGGTTCATTTGTATTTACTCAATCGCTTAACGCGCACACTGATATGGTCTCTTGTTTTGAAATCCCCCCATTTGAATAAATGTAGTTTGACTCCCCTTAAATGTTTTGATAAAGTATAAATGTATATTCATCTGGTTACGCGGGAGCTCACGCTCTTTGACATAAATTAAAAATCAATGAGTACACGATAGGGGTAATGCTAATAAGGTTAAAGTTGTCGAAGTACTGGTGGAATGAGAGGCAAGAAAAATGGAAGAACCCCGATAAAACCTGACGCGAACTCACTTTCAATCCAGCACAAATTCCATATGGATCGACCGAATGATGCCGGAGAAGTGGTGTAGTGAGAGGGTGGGGAAATAGGAGAACCCTGAGAAATCGTGACGAGTGGTCGCTTTGTACACCAAAATTTCCGCTTGGATAGGTCGAGGATAAAACTCGGGCCTCACAGACGGAAGGCGTTTGTGCTAGCCATGAAGCCACGAGTACCTCACATGTTTTCGTAACACCAGCTAAATACGTATTAGCTGGCTTGTAACTGAACGGGAATCTGTCCATGACAAATTTTCGACCAAGTTACTAGCAGATCAAGGCCAGTAACTGAAAGAGAATTCAAGCTTCTCTCTTCGTGATTTCCTTCGAAACCAGAAAATTAAGTTTAAGAATTGAGCGTAAACCGTGTGTGATTTTCTTTCCCCATTCTATTCCAACTTTCACCCCTAGAGGCAATAAGCGGGACTCCATGGTCATCAGACCCATCCCGTCTCGTGTAGAAAACTTCGCTTTTCACATAATTCGAAAAATGGCAATTTCCTGTTGGTATTGGTGAAAATTAGTAAATTGGAACTTCATATTAGTTATTCACAAACACTGTCTGTTTTAAATGAATATTACAAGGACTATTCGATATACTTGCTCTTTGTGGACCACCATTAATATACTCTCTATAGAACAATTCGAGAGAATAAAATTCAGAGTACTTGAAATTGGAATCAATATACATTTTTGTTGGAAGCTTAGATAATGTCTTTTCTCTAAAAATATTTATAGGAACAGTTTAGGATTTGTCGTGAATATGCATATATATATTTGGCGAATCACACGTGTGATACTGACTGCCATGTATTACACTTGAATATTGGCTCTACTTCAGTTCACGTGGCTCCACGGTTCTTTCATTAACGTAATTAATGGTATATATTCTTCGCGCGCACTGGTTCAGATTTCTTCTTTCCCCAGAGACAGCTCAAAGGCGTTACAAATCTCCCTGGAGTATCCCCAGCCACGAAATGTTAAATTACTTAATACAAATTCAACTAATTCAAGTTTCCCAATTATACTAATCTAATTTACAATAGTAGTTCTCTAAATTAAACCTGCAACTCTAACAAAGTCTCTATGGAATGTATTCAACCACCATTCAAGTCAGTTACAGCCACAGCAGTAAAATGTACAGTATCTTTAGGTCGTATTTCCTTAAATACGATGTCTGATTTGGTGTACCTACCATCCAACCCACATCTCCAAGTAGTTTCCTTAGAGCCATGAAGCATTTCTACTTTTCCAAGAAGTCTTAGCTGTTACAGCGGAGAGCAATAAGAGTCTCGGCCGGAACGAGCAGTCCACCCCAAAAGTGGGGTCGTTCTTCCCGAAAGCTCCCGTCGCCGAAAATCGAAGGAAGCTGGGCCGGCATGACCCTTAGTGCAGTCAGCGGCATTAGAGTCAGAGGCGAAAATTCGACGCAATGAAGGCAATCTGGCGAGTGGGCCGCGCGAAGATGGCAGCAAAGAGAAAAAAAACTGCGCTCCAGATTCCCCAGCGTTAACAAGGGGCGAGTCGCGCGCTCACTGCTTTCGGGAATATGGCATTAAGTTCGACGCGAAATCTCCGACGCCCTCGAGATTTCGCAATACTGCTCTCTGAGTTTACGCTATTTGCGACGGAGCTTTTATCTAACGCCAAGACATCTTTATGAATAGCTCTTTAACGTCGGGTCTCGCGTAACAACGCCGTAGCGGCTCTCATTTTACGCAAAGAACGTTTATCTCATTTATTAGGAACTTTCAACATATTTCCTCTTTTGCTTTGCATTTTATACTACCCGTTCGTCTATTCTTTCTTGAATTGCACACCCTTTGCCGTTACTCTAATATTTCCGCTCGCACTTATTTTTCATTTCCCCTTCAGGACAATTAAATTCTATCCCATATTTTAATTTTCCCCCGTATTACTGCAACACGTTTTCTTATTTAACAATTTAAGCGTTTTTCTTCATCAGATATATGAAATACTGGGAAAAGAATTTTATATAAACTTCCTAGAAAACGGAAATTTCGAAAAAAAACAATAAAAATGTTATCGTTGAGTTAAGAAACATAAGAAGCTTCTCTTAAAGACGAGCAACCTAGCGTCGGTGTAAGTTTCATGCAGATGTTTTACTGGTTTTATAACATATGCCTGAATTTGTTCTTTAAATATGCTCTTCATATCTATCTTGATTTATACATTCATTTCAGTGCATTAGTGCTCACTATATTAGTTTTTTACTTTAGTATTATAAGACATCTTGGTATAATAAGAGATTATAGAATAATTATTAAACGAGTCACTTATGCCGGTCGAGTTTTGTTGTTCGATACGATTATCATGCAACGCTTTATTCACTTTGTAAATATTCTAATATTATTTTCGTTTACATTTGACAACACTCCCTGCGAAAGATAATACTGATTTTGATTGCATTGATAAATTAGTGATTCCGGGCGTGTCAACTGCTAAGGTCATTAGTCCCGTGATGCATATTTTATGGAGGGAGGTGGCGATGATCTACGCCTGATGGATGACAAGATCCAGCGCCCATCTGCAGTCGGCTTACAGGTTTTTCCCCAACCTAACATCTCTCAACAGCGAGGCATCGCCCAACTGGGACAAGCTCTACGCTCCCGCTATGTGTGATAGCGTAGTGGATGTAAATGTAAGTGTTTGTAAGTAAGGGGTGAGGATACGACAAATCGCGCGCGGTGCGTGGCCCGTTTGTTACGATACTACTCCGGCATTCGGCAGGTGTTGACGAGAGAAACTACGGAAAACTATCGATCAGAGCAGCCGGTCGCTAGAATTCTCCTCCAGTCAGCGACTGAATTCAACCTGGTTATGTAGCTAGTGTCAAACTCCGACCACGCCGGGACTCGAACCTAGAACCTCCCGGTCAGAGGCACTGCAGTAATACCAATTGATGTGCTGAACCACCAAAACGGTGATAGTACATAAGAGACCAAAGATTACTATAATACTTGTGTTCTAATAAAACGTTTTACGAAACTTAACATAGTTGTTAATAATTACTTGTGATCGTTACAGTAACACTTATTGCGACACTGATATCAGTTTTGTAAAGTTTGACTCAATACAATCAAAGTAATTAAAAATTATTAAATAACATTTCACTTCGTCACTCTCACTTTGAAAATAGATCGTTCCGTCATCGTTAAGTC